GCAAGCTGCCTTTTGCCCTGTATCAGCAATTCAACAATTCCTCCCTCTCTGCTTGAATAAAATGTGTCTTGATTCTTGTTTCTCCTGCTGTTTTCTTTATATTTAGTTTATGTTCATGCGTTCTGGGAGTTAGTGTTAGTTTAAAGAGTTTATCTACAGTACATCTACTCTCTCTATCCCACTTCAGCATCTTGAAAACTTCAAATTATATCATCTTTTAAACCGTCTGTTTTTCTCTCTAGTGAATAGAATTCCAGGTTTCCCAGCCTTTCTGCACACAGAAAGTTCATGAGCACTTTTATCATTCTTTTTTGCTGTCCTCTGGCCCTCTTCAATCCCCAGGTTGTCAATTCAATGATATGGTGTCCTGACTTGTGTAAGTTGCCTAAATGTGGTCTGATAAGTACTTTACAATATGCTGGACTAATTTCTTATTTCTTCCAACATCAGTTTTAGACCTCTACTGTTTTGACAGTGCATAATAGTGCATTGTGGGAAAGGGTTTATGCTTCTGTTTACTATCAGTCCTATGACTTTCCTGTTCTTGGTTATGCAAAACATGTCTGTTTAACATATATCCGTTCTATTTTGAATTGCAAACTTTGAAATCTACCCTTGCCTCAGCAAAAAATCATGAACCATTTGTCCCACTCATTCTCCAGTCTTGTCTGGAAGATCTTTGTTTCTTTAGATACAGATTTTTTTAAGGTATTTAGGCATCGCTGCTCCCAGCATTGCAACACCTTGGAATTTAGGAGTCTAAATGGCATTTTCAAAAGGGATTTAATGCCTTGAGCCAAAATTCCATTGACAGTTGATGAGATTTAAGCTCCTAAGTGCCTACATCACTTTTGAAAATGAGACAGGCTCTTAAATCAGTGAGGCCATGTTAGTGATAATCTTCTCCAGGTCATTCATATAGAGAGAGAGATACAATTTGGCCCTCAATATCAATCCTTCACTCATTGCCTTTCTTGTCCCAACCCCATACACCAGTTACATCATTGCTATCTACCCCTCACTTCAGTTACCTAAACTATCCTTTCTCCAATCCAAACCCATACCTAGAATCCAAATAGAATTTAGTCCATTGCGTTACCCGTGTCTGCTTTCTGCATTACTTCCCTAAAAATATTCCACCCGATTTGTCAAACAGGATTTACCCTTTATGAAACCATACTGACTAGTTTATTTCTCCAGATGTTTTGTGACCTCATCCTTTATTAATGTTTCCAGAATCTTGCCTACCACCAAGGCCAGACATACTGGTGTATTATTTCCTGGCTCTCTTTCCTAGTCCTTGTCTTACAGACTGAGGTTGTATTTGCTTCTCTTCAGTCCCTAGGAGTCTTCCCTCTCTCAAAGGAGCCAAGTTAAAATCTCCATTATTGAACCACTGATCTTGTTAAAGATTCCCCAGTATATAAACCCTATTACCTTGGAACTTCTAGTCTCCAGTAATTTTAACTTACACAGGACTTATGCTGAAATGAATGTACTGTACCCCAGAAACTTTGCTTCCACTCAACCTCATGAATATTGAGCAGAAAATTAGATTTAGGCTGAGATTGTCAAGTTTTTATAGGAAACACAGCAAAAGGAGAGTTTTAAGAAGATATTTGAAGGAGAACATTGAGGCTGTTTATGGGGACCTCTTCCCAAGTGTGAGGTGCAGTGTGGGAGAAAGCACAAAGACGCTTGTTTGAAAATCTAACGACCCCAGCAACTGAACAATTTATCTCAACAAGTTCCTCTGTCTTTGCTGCGTTTGGTTTTTCTATGTCGCTTTCATTATTAAACATCAAGCTCTTCAGGGCAGGTACTGAGCCTTCCTGTGCTTTTGTACAGTGTCTAGCATAGTGAGACACCCAATTCTCATTAGGGCCTATGGGTGTTAGCGTTATATAAATGGTAATAAGAATTAATGTTCAAGCCTGCATTTTTTTCTACTTGCAGGAAGGACTGCAGAAATGGACCCATATTTTCCATAAACCATAGGTCCCCTTTATTCAGCATTCTTGTGTATGATAATACACTGCCTCTCTCTTCCTCCCTGTCCTTAATACCTTTTATAAGTTTTGAATGTATCTACATTGATCTTTTATTATTATTCACCATTGTTATATGTGCTCGCTATTGCCACCACAAGGCTGGATTACTCTAGTGCACTTTACCTGGCTTGCCATTCAATGAGCTTCCAGAAGCTCCAGGTAACAGAGAACAAGTCAAACTACCCTCTAACCATGGTAAGGCACCATGTGCACAATATGTGAATTCCATTCTCTGTCTACGTTTCTCCTTCCAGGTGAAAATTCAAGGAACATAAGAATGGAGATATTGGGTCAGACCAATGGTCCATCTAGCCCAGTGTCCCATCTTCCAACAGTGGCCAACGCCAGATATTTCAAGGGAAATGAACAGAACAGGGAAATTATCAAGGGATCCATCTCCTGTGGTCCAGGCCCAACATATGCCAGTCAGGGGCTTGATCAGGAGCTACTGACAGGCTTCAAAGTTATAGAAGAGACCAATTTCTTCCCTGTCAGTACATATAAGGTCCATTAAGTGCCTCCTCTCTTGGTGCTGGGAGATCATCTTTTTGGGGTCAAGGATATAGTTCTCAGTTTAGGGCTACAACTTTGGGACTTTCTACCTGTGATTGTCTATCAGAACACATACTTCAGAGTAAAACTTTTTTGGTTAGTCAGGCTTTCTTTTAAACATTTGTTTATTGGGTTTTTTGCATGTGTTCTTTCTGATATTTTAGAACAGGTGAGTATTTTATAGAGAGGGGGATATTTTGAGTTGTTTAGATTCTGAGGATCAACTTTCAAAAGGGCCTTTATCCTGCACTCTAATTTTATGCCAGTAACTTTGTACCTGCAATCAACCTTTAGAAGTTAAACTACCTGACTTGCAGGCACCAACATCCTTTGCGCTTTTAGATCAGACAATTAATAATTTCTGCTCACAACTGATTATGCTTGCAAAACAGCAGGTACAAAATGAGGATTTTTTTTAAATGTAATCCTGCATGATTTAAATACTATTATCTGGTGCTTGGATATTTTCATGGAAGGATCTATGTGATACATTTTAAATAGAGTGAAGAAAAATAGTTGATAAATATCTTGTACATAAACAAAATCAAAAGTGGGATATCAGGGACGACTCCTGCAAAAGTTCTACTTGTCAGCTCCATCTACTACAAAAGAACAATGATCAAGCAGGAACATCAAAAGGGAGGAGTCTGAGACTGAGCAATTGTGAGAGTGGATCTCGCCATGAAGTTAGCACAGAGTAGTTAGAGAATAGCAATCCTCCCTCAGAACTAAGCACAGCCATTAATGAATTGCTACCCCTCTGAAGCTCACTGCATTCAGAAAGCCCCTTCTCCCCTGGGAATTCAATGGGATCACCAGAGGAGGACCTCACCTCCTTGAAAAACTTCACACCCCAGCTGCTCACCCAAATTAGAACTCCTGTAATTCACACCAGAACCTGGTGAAATTGCATCATTTGCTCCAATATCTGAAGCTTGACTTGCACACAAGATATGCCGGGGAAGGTACAAATTACAATTTCAAAGCCTTTCAGCCTGAATCTGAATTTAGAATTAAGACTATGCAGCTGCACTCACCACTGCTTATTTCAGCTTATTGGGAAAAAAAAAAGAAAAAGAAAAGAAAAATCTCTAAAAGTCATTATTTTAGTGATCTGAGTTGTTTGTTACAAGGCTGTCTCCAATGACACTGACTCACAGTTAAGAGGCTGCAGGATATTAATATTAACAATGTAAATAACAGACAATTCTTCAGGGGAGAAAGGAACTTGTCTCTAATTTTCAAAGGATAGGCTTTACTTAACTAAGCCTAATTAGCTGTGATTTTCACATAAGCAACAACAACAACAACAAAAAATCACATTTGTTTTAGCATTTTTAAATAGCTGATAAATGGAAAATTATTTTCCAAAACAGACTTTTAGGAATATTATCAAGTTCTTAAGTGCACACAAATTATTATGCCCAAGATTATTTTCTCATTTACTATATTTACACATACTCTCTATTGCAACCAAAAATCCTAAATGTTTATTTATTCTAGAGATATCATATAGCAACAATATACTGGTTTAATGTTTCTTTGTAAACCCCTAAAGCTTTCTTTCTGCTGTTATGTAGAAATACTCATTCTAAGAAATATTAAAACGTATCTTATATGTGTGCATACATTTTCTAGAATGAATTATCTTAAAACATTTTATTATGCAACGAGGGTGTCGTGAAGGGTTTGTCACTTTAATTGCAGTAACTTATACTACAAAAGAATGGCTGGGTGTGTTAAAAATACCACTGTGAAACGTAAGGTATAATATTGGTTTGCTTTTGCATCACGAAGAAAAGAGCTTTTTTTTCCAAATTAGCCTATAGTGCATATTGCATGCTGGCTAGAATTCAGCATGTACATAATGTAAAGCACCCCACTTGAAATCCATCGTATGGAATTTTTAAAGTGCTAAATGTCCCCTCTGCAACCACTTCCACCTGCTTTTGTCCAACACATGCATAGTTTCTCCTTTTAGTAGGAAGGCTAAACCTTCTCCAAGTCGTTAAAAGTTCACTTTTCACTTTATTAATTGCATACTTCACCTGAAGAGAAGAAAAAAAAGTGATCTCATGCCTTTTTAGTGGCTTAGCCAAGAAGTTACTTGGTTTATAGCCTCACTAAGCCAGGAGGTTCCTGCAGCTCTGGTTACAAGGTTCAGACACTATCAAATCCATGTAATGTTTTACATGCTTTGGAGATATTCTCTCTTTCCTCAATGATTGTTGCTGTAATTACACAAATGATCTGCTCCACTGTCACTTCCAGTCAAAGGTGTCATCTAAAATTAAAAAGTCATGTAAAAACTAAAAACTGTTTAAGCAGGCAGTTGGGACCTGATCTGATTTCACAATGTTTTGTTTAACTTCTTGTGTGCCTTGTCTCTTTGCACAGTGGGGTCCAGTTTAAGCGAGTGGAGTGGAGAGCTGTACATGGAAGCTGTGAGTACTAGAAACTAATGTCCTCTGTCTCTTAAACACTTATTTTATTTTTTTAAATAAAGGGCCTAATTCCCCCATTGCGGATTCAGTGTAAAATTGCCTTGAGAAGAAAACCATGTACAGATAACATTACACTGAATGTTTCTGAAACAGATAACATTACACTGTTTAGATGAGAAACAGACAATATGGCGACTCAGCAACAGGATTAGAACCTGAAGCATAGCTTTTCCAGGCTTCTATGGTATGGACATGAGATAGGAGGTTACAGAAATGGAAGCACAAGACACCATATTGAGGGTAACTGAGAAGAAAGGGACTGAATTGGCAGCCATAGATTACAGCTAGGTTTACATAGATGCTATTCTCTATATCTAGCCCATGTTACATCTTCAGAGACCCTAGTTAGGAATCAAATGGCTAATAGTGGCTATAGATAATTACTGTACAATAAAATACTGTGCTTCCATCTAACTTGGGTGCTGTTCAATGGTGAATTTTGTTTCAGATTCTTGCTCCTGGATTCTGATTGTTTTAAAATGAATTCTTGTTTCTGCTGCTGCATAACTACTGTATTTAGATTAAACTGATAGGGCTGTATAATTGCTGACACAGGGAAGGTGCAAATTGCACTCCTTGTGCCCTGACTGGAGCCTGTCTCCTGAGATTCACCCTAAAAGAAGGCAGGTGATGTCACTACTGCCACCCTCCTATGGTAGCTTAAATCTCCGACATGGACTGTGTAGGAGCCCTGCCAGTAAAGGCTGGTGAGGGTGTGCAGTAATTCAGCATACCCCTAGGGAGGCCACTCCTCCTCCCTAGCGAGCTTTGTCTTCTTTTGGGGCTGCACTGGATCATGGTAGATTCCCCAGCAGACAGAAGGTTTGTGTACCATATACAGCTGCAGACACTCCCTTCTCTTACAGGGTAGAGTATTGCAGTAGTCTGACTGCACCACTCTTTCAGCTGTCCCAAATGTACTAAGAGTCTGGCATGTTCTGCACATCACACAGGTCACTGACTCAGTTCAGGAACAAACTGCCCATCTTGAGACTCAGAATTTACTGTGGAAAATGACCAGGCAGAATCACCCACCACAGAGAATGCTAAAGGGCAACACTTCCAATGGTTCTGGAACAGTTTTATAGTAGGGGGTGCTGAAGGCAGACACCGTGAATTGTTGTGGGTTGTTATTACTATTTCGTGACAGTACCCCCAGCACACCTAGTTCCAGCACCTATGAACACATGAAATAAAAAATGAAACAATCCTGTACAGTGACTCTCATCCTGACATTTTCAAAGTGGGGTGAGAGATTTTGACTGGGTGACTCCCATTAAAGTCAATAGAAGTTGCAGGGCTAAACCCACTAAACAAAGACCTGCAACAAACAGGGACTCATGTGAACTGATCATTTCAAAGAATTATTTTTGTGACCACTATAAATTGAATTGCATGGAAGCCTTTGTTTTGTTATTGAGGTTTCCTTAAAGTACAAGACGGGAAAGGAAGAACACCAGCCACTAATTCCCAGAAATTAATTCTAAAGTGTCAGAGAAAGTTTTCAGTTTACTGCATGCCCTACACTGTCTCGTCAAACTCATCAGAATTTAAATAGTATGTTTTTCCTTTGGAGACAGACTTAACAATTGAGCTGAATTTTGAAACTGGATGTGCCCATTGACCCATTACTACTGTGGGTGTTTTCATACCCAACCAGTTAATTGCCCATAAAGATTCATAATGTAACATGACGTGAAGAAGAACCAGATGTGACTCGTTAAAGTCTTATGTATCAAGCTAGGAAATCCAAAAAGGCTTGTTTTTCAAGAACAGACAGCATTTCAGGTTTAAATGAATGCTTTGTACCAACCTCCTGCAATTTTTGTTGCCATTTCTTTGGCAAAATTGCCAGGACAAAGCACATCTCACATAAAGATGCCCCAAGCCAGTTTTGAAATGTTTCATTATCTCTAAATATCGGGTAAATATCTTCTTTCATACAGATATTATGCAGTGCTTGACCTGGAAGTATGTTGTATATATTGTGTCTGGAAGAATTAAACCTAAAGAAAAAACTCATGTCGTCTTTGAAACCACTCTTTCAATGCCATGAGTTTTCTATTTGATTTTCCAGCATAATCAGCAGCCACTTCAGTGTGCGTATGCATTTGGCTCAGAGACTGGCAACATTGCTTCTGTGGGAATGATAAGAAAGACATTTAAAAATTAAAAGTGTAAGCAATTTTGTACTTTAAGGTGATTAGTTTGTTTTTTTTAAGGGGGAGGTATGTGTTGGAGTGGGGAACAAAGTAAATTTTTTCCCCAGAGTTCAGAGATAAGTACACCATGGGCCACAATCTGCCCTCAGAAACATGCCCTCAACTCTTTTAAAGCTTGCTGAAATAAACAGGAATTGCACCAGAGGGCAGAAAATGGGCCAAGTCATTAGAGAAAGAAGAAAGAGAAAAACTTGGAAAAGCCATGAAAAATTGTACACCCGTATTTTTTCTTTTTATCTGAAATATGTATGCTCAATGGAGCTTCTTGGTTAAATAAAACACGATGAACGTACTATGGATATATATACTGTAACATACACCCAAAAAAATCAGTGTACTGGGAAAGGGCTATTTTATGCAGCAGTTATAACTTACTGCAGAAGATTCTAAAGTTGGACTTGGTACATATCCACAGCACAAAGAAGAGAGTGAGAATCTGATATGGTGGATACAATTTTTCAAGTTACTCACATTGGCTAGAACTGCAGTGATTTCATTTTTATTGCACTACAACCTAAACACAAGCTTCATTAACTGCAAAGTCACATTTCTTTAACACAAGGTGAATAAGAGGGGAAAAAGGTGTTTGTTTTTATTTGAAAATTGTTTAATTTTCTGAAGTTTATACCATATGTCAATATCGTTAAGCAATTCCCATGGTTATGCTCAAGATTCAGCTCTACCTCTGCTACCCAACCATTAAAACCAACAAGAGTTTGTGTAGCAGTAACAAGTTCTAAAGAATATGGAACACCTTTCAGACATGACAAAAGTCTCAGCAAGAGTTTAGTGCTAAAAATGTATATTGTCAGAACACAGTTAAATATAGTTTGAGTCTGAGGAGATGGAGAAGGAGATGTTGAAAGAAAAACACCTCTATAACATCATCTTCCAGTGAAGGCATCTGCCCCTCTAATCATTAAGATGGTCCACAACATCAGAGCTGACCTAGGCTCCTCATTGCTTCTAGATAGCCAAATAGTTAGGATAGCTAAAAATGTCTCTTTCCAACTGCACCCCAATTCAGATTTGATGACGGTGACACGTTAACTCCAGGTTTCAATACTGCAATGGATTGTTTCTAAGGATAAAACCATTAATCTTTCCTTTATCTAGGAACCAAGCCTCGGTTGGTTTTGATACAACAATCTGCTTATGCAGCAACACAAGACACCAAGTGCACATCACACTACTGCCAGGCTTCCTTCTTTGGCTGTTTATTGAATACCAAGTGTTCAAGGGTGTTGGTCCTTATCTTCAAAGCTCACCATGGCACTGACCCAAATTACTTGAGGAACTGTCCCACCCTGGATGATCCTGTCCTTCTGAGCACAGCAGACAGAACTTTCTATGTAACTGGCCCGTAACTGAGGAACTTCCTTCTGGAAGAGATCAGAATGACTACAAATCTCAGCACCTGCAAAATGAAATATAAAACCATTTCTTCAACCTAGTCTTCCTTTGGAAATCCCATCTAAATAACATCAACAAACAAATAAACCAAAGCAAACAAACACAATAACCTTCCTACGGAATGGAACTAGAGAGCGAAGGAGAGCATGCAATACAGAAATCTTCTTAACTTTAATACATTTGTAAGGTGTTCAGGTCCTGTATAGAAGCCGGGCCCAAGAAAAGTAGGTAAATACTCTCTCTGGCTGAAACCTGCTGTCTTCTGAAAGGCTGAACGTGAACATGCATTTGACTTAATTAATTTAAAATCTGAACAAGATTAGTTTTCATTGTCAACATCAAAGTTAAAACAGGTTTCTAATCTTTTTACTTATGCCAAGAAAAACCTTTAGCAAGAGGTCTTCTATCACTCCTAATCATGCCATAATCCTGACATCATAAAACTAATTGATGTTGCCACTCTTAAAATGGATCTTAATATAAGTGATGCAATCATTTAAAAATATCATTGCATCTGACATGACTGATCTGATGTTGACTCACAGGATTGCTATTGCAGGTCTGAGGGACAAGACAGGCTGTATATTTTGCAGAGGGTTCCTGTAGAAGGGTCACTGAGACTCATCTGGGAGTAAGCAGTCACTTATGTACTAAATGGGCTGCTCATAATAAGTATTTTCTCCTTCATACAGGACTCCTTCTCAGGACTCCCCTCCTAGTCCGCGCACTTCCTTCTTTAGAAGACTCAAAATAAACAGCTTTCTTTCCTCTTTCTAGAGGGGAAATAATAAAGGGATCCCAATTTGCAAGACCAAAACCCATCACCAGCAAAAAACAAAACCAAGAACATCTCTTCCCATCCTTCTCCCCACCTGTGCCCCAAACTCCTCCTCCCAAAAAATCCTAAAATAGCTCTGGCTTGCCTATTTGGCCAGAAAAGACCAATGTATTCCCTCTTAGCAAAATAAACATCAGTAAACATCACAGTTTTCAGGACATTAGCAAAAACAAACATAAAATGTACGTCCATTTGGCTTCAGGACAACAGGTTCAAAGTCTTCCCTGGTCAGCAGAAGAAGCACAGCTCCTCCCAACTAGAAGCCTCCTGTTCAGTCAACTTCTACTCTCTGAATGAGCCAGCTGAAGGATCTGTCCTCCAGGCCTGGCAGCTCATGGGGGAGAATCTGTACTCCCATTTCTCTCACTGGAGAACTTTAAACCTTTCCCTCCCCAGCCATGTGGTGGGCATGCTCATCCTATCACAGAACCTCATACTGCAGTAAAGTGGATATTCACAAAGGAATT